GTCCCTACAAGTTCTGTCACACCAAAGGCCGTTCCAGTGCTTCTAAAATGGACAGTTCCCACCTCTAATTCTGCAGGGCCAGAAGAAGCACGCAAGCTCTAGTGTATTTTTGATGCAGTATCAATCTTCTTAAATTAACTGAAGTAGTATCTGTAGTGCAAATGCACTTATATCTCTCATGAAAGTATGTCTTGATAAACTTTTGTGGGAAAAATTATAAGATTTTTCTTAATTCAGTTATATAAACATATTTAACATCAAAACTGGATTCTTACTTCAATACTCAAGATGGTCAACAAAATGAAATACATCTGATTATAAACATACATTTTTATTCTTGCAGTACAGAAGAACACTCATTACATGATGATCTTTGATGCTTTTGTTATATTGACTTGTCTGGCCTCGTTGATCCTTTGCACACGATCCGTGGTTAAAGGAATTCAGCTCCAAAGGGTGGGTATAACTTTTTCCTTGGAAAGTCTTCAGGTCTGGTGTAACTCTGACAAACCTTTTTCTTTCCTCCTTTCCTAGGAATTTGTAAGCTTTTTCCTATATTATTATAAGAAAGAAATATCTTTCAGTGACCAAATGGAGTTTGTCAATGGATGGTACATCCTGATTATGGTTAGCGATGTCTTAACTATTGTTGGATCAACCCTAAAGATGGAGATACAAGCCAAGGTAAGCATTTTGCACTGTCAGGTGGAAGCAAAACTTTCTGTCCCAGCTAGGTTTAAATCTCTCAGAGAACTTTAGACCGTCTCTACTCGATTCTGAGTGGAATCAAATTTTAAAACTCTCTTCTCCTCTGGAGTTGTAACTGAGATGTATTGTTTCCAGTTGCGAGATTTAAAAACTCCCAACTATCACTAGATATTGTAGTTCTAATTACCTTTACTCCTTTGTGACTGCAGGGAATAAAACTCTGGAAGTTTAAGACTGTTGACTTCCTCTCTTCCACATTTGGGACGATTTCTCTTTGCTTATATGATGGATTTTTTTAAATTTAACATTTAACTTTCTGTTTCACATTTAACAAGTGTTTAACTAGCACAGAGACTCTCTTTAAACATCAGTTTGCTGCTTTCCCAGCTTCTGGCTTCACCTAACAGTCAGCCACAGTCAGGTTTGAGGCCTTCAATTTCTAAAACAAACTTGATACTGGAAAAGCTCAGATCTTTTAAAAACACGTTATGTGCAGCCAGAATCAGGGGAAAAAAATATTACCATCTGCTATCCTGAAGCACTAATATTCAGATAATGTTGATCTTCACCAAATCTGTAGCAGACATTGAAGTGTGACATTGCAACACAGAAAACTTTGAACAGTAGTAATGGGTCTGAAATCCATCTGGTGACAGCCTGAGTATCATAAACGCCCTGTACAAATTGCCCTATCTTAGGAACTATAAACTCCATTCTTAGGAGTAGAAAGAAGCTATGATGAAGTTGGCTAAGATAAGAGATAAATCCATCCTGCTTGGGGAGGAGTGAAGATGAGAACAAGGTTGGAGTAAGAATGCATTTGGGATTGCAATATCTTGTATATATACATCTTTTTAGATATGTTTCTATTCTAAGGGAGTATTTTACTAAAAGTCTTCCCTATGAGTACTTTTCACTTCAGTTTGCAAACCTTGTGGAATATAATAACATGTTCCATGTTACTGTGTAAAAGTTAATGGATGAATAACAAGTTCACAGTAAAGTAACTTAAATTTGTTTGGTTTTTGGTGTGTTTTTTTTTTTTCAACTTGTAAATGAATTATGTTAATATAAAAGATTAGCTAACTCTCAGAGGAATAAAAACAGAAAATAGTGAAAACTTCTTATGCAAGTAAGCTGTCATGATCCATTTCAGAGTTGAACTGCAGTTTAGGGAACAGGCTATATGCTAACTTGGATGAAAACAAGCCAGTATGTATAGGTGGAAAAAACCCAGTGAAATACCAATAAAATATAAATGAAGTTCTGGTTAAATTAATTAGAAGCTAATTAGTTTTCTCCTTGATAACTTTCAACACCTCATAGTTCCCAGCTACCTAACAAGATCCTCCTTAGTATTTTTCTGAACTTTGCTGACAAATCATGCTGTTTTTTAAAAACTGCTTTGCCTATGTACTGGATGAACCCTCTTTGCTCTCTGGTTCTGTGGTGATGTCTACACTGTCCACTGGGATGCAGTGGAGAGATTCCCAGGCTGCTCTGGGGAATCTGCCGATGCAGATTCCAGAAGCAGTTGCTGCAGGTCTGGAAGCACCATGACAATGTTTGAAGTGACACTGCAGGTCTTGGTGAGCCAGGTACAGAGGGGCTGTCTCTGCACTTCCAGTGCAGCTGCGCTCTTGGCCTTGCCAATGAAGCTTCTCTTGTCAGAATCTACTTTACAAAGAGTAAGTGAGGGCGTATGAAATAAGTTACACTTGAAAGTGCCCTTGATCTTTGGTAGAACTTCTGCTTCCTAATGCGTATTGCCCCAAACGGATTTTTAATAAGAGAGACTGCCGAGGAAAAACATGTTTCTTAACAGATCTTTGTAGTAATGAGTCTCACAATTTAGAACCTGCCAGTTGTTATAATACTTGACTTTTTTCTTCTTTTCTTCTCTTTTTTCTAGAGTCTGACAAGTTATGATGTCTGCAGCATACTCCTGGGAACATCCACTATGCTTGTGTGGCTTGGAGTCATTCGCTACCTAGGTTTCTTTCAGAAGTATAATGTAAGGATCTGCTGGGATCTTCGTGCTGTTGGTATTTATTCTGTTTGTTGCTACAAGAGGACTTGAAGAAAGGCCTGGCTGAATTCTAACTGTTTGCATTGCTTTGTGCAGCTTCTCATCCTAACACTGAGAGCAGCATTACCCAACGTAATGAGGTTCTGCTGTTGTGCTGCTATGATCTACCTGGGCTATTGTTTCTGTGGATGGATTGTACTGGGACCATACCATGTGAAGGTAATATACTTAACGAAAAAAGACAACTTGGATAACAGAAAGAATTACAAACAAATGAGAGATGACTCTAGGTGGTCCTGCTCTGGCAGGGGGGTTGGACTAGATGATCTTTCGAGGTCCCTTCCAACCCCTATGATTCTATGACTACTGTTGTTTTTTTCCATGCCAAGTCTCCATGTCAGGGCTTCCCTGAATATAAAAATAGTACATCTTCAACATGATTCTGCTCTGTTTGAAGAGTCTGACTTCCATGACTCAATTAGACTTGAGTTATGAAAGCTCTGATTCAGAAGTGGAAGCTGACATGACTCCAAATCACATGTTGATATTTTGAAAAAAATATTTTCATCGTGCAGAACACCACGGTCAGACTAAATCTTTGAAGACTTCATCCTCTATCCCTTTTAAATGTGAAATTGGCTTATCTGAATTGAACGTGTATGTGTACAGGAGCTGATAAACTTTGCTCATTCCTCAAACGTTTTACTGTTTTCACCTTGTCATACCCTGGGTGTACAAAGAGATCCAAGGCAGCCAGTCATCAGCTGTGCATCTCCTGTGTGTTACCCAGTCTTTGGATCCAAATAAAGCAGCAGCGTATGGCCTTGTCTTCTTCCCTCCACTCTAGTTTCGCTCTCTGAATATGGTTTCCGAATGCCTCTTTTCATTGATCAATGGAGATGACATGTTTGCCACCTTTGCAAAAATGCAGCAGAAAAGTTACTTGGTTTGGTTATTCAGTAGGATCTACCTCTACTCCTTCATCAGTCTGTTCATCTATATGGTGCTGAGTCTTTTCATCGCCCTCATTACAGATACATATGAAACTGTCAAGGTAAGCACGGACTCCTAGTTTGGAATAAAAATGCAGAATTGGTGCTATCAAAACTCTCACCTCCCTCAATATTTTGACTTGCAGGGCATGCCAATTTAAAGAATAAATATAATGGATACTTTTGAGGGTGTAGAGTGATGATGAGAGGTTTTTAATTCCTCCCTACTTCATTTTTTTTTACAAACTTATCTGATGCCTGCTCCAGTGGAAGCTAAATATCTACTAAAAGCTGTAATTTCATATTGATCTCTGTGAGTCTTCTAATTTCAGATTTGAGCAATGTCTGAAAAGTGATCAGGGGAGGATTTGGGTTATAGCATGCTTTAGCCTTACTAAAGGTTTAACTAAATGTCAACTTTTTTAGCACTACCAGCAAGATGGCTTTCCAGAGACAGAACTTCAGAGATTTATATCACAGTGCAAAGACTTACCAAATTCTGGCAGGTACAGGTTAGAGGAGGAGAGTTCTGCATCTCTTTTCTGTTGTTGTAACAGTAAGTACCTATGTTAAAATTATACATTAAGGTATACAAAAAAGCAACACGCCACTAAATTTCCCTAGTATAATATTTATGAAGAGTACTTAATTTTTTGGGGGTGGAGGGAGAAAGAAAAAAAAAAAGGCACAGAAATCCCAAACCATTTCTGATGCTCTAGAATGGACCACTTGAACGAAGTATCTGCAGCAAGCAAACTCCTTAGGAGAGGAGAAAGAACTTTTTGAATGAAGAATTGTTTAATGTGAAAAATAGTACAGAAAGTCAGATAATATATACAGTAACTAGGGAACAGCTCGTGTATAATGTGCAAGCATTAATGTTTCCTGTACTCCCTGCAATACGCAGGACTTTAAGAACACATTCAGTGTCTTCTTAACTACTTTTTAATGACACCTTGTCCAGAAAAGTGTCCTAACTTAAATGGTAGCAGGCCTGAAACTTAGGGGGAAAATAGATCACCAAGGCTTTAAGACAGCATGCAGTTTAAGATACTATCACAGCACTTGCAAAAGCATTGCCTAACTTCCACTATGGAGAGCTTAGTGCCTTAGTTATTTGAAGTTTTGTTTCTTCAGGAGTACTGATTGCAGGATATGTGGTTTATATTTAACTTGGCTGGCAACAACTGTGAGTCTTGCCTACTGAAGGGTCCGTTGGTGGGGGAGCCTTAAAATATTTGCAGCTTGATTAAAAAGATCAAAGGCATTTGCGGCTCCTTGGTGTTTGGCTTTTTTTGGTGTGCTGTATTGTTATATGCCAGGTAGAATGTCTTTATGATGGGGAGGAGATAGGGACGTATTTAAAAGCAGGGAGGTGACAGAGCCTGTAGTGAGCCAGTCCAGAGTGGAGAGCTGCTGTTCTGACCGAGTGCCTTACCAGAGATGAAAGTGTGGGCTGGAGCAGAGCTGGGCATCTTGCTCCTGGGTAAAGGGCACAGGCATGTTAATGTTTCCTTTCCTGCACACGCCTCTCAGTTTAACCAGGCAAGAAACCCAGTGTGAGGTGGGACAGGGTGGAGATGTAATACTTTTCCTTCTGACTGTGAGGTGGGGATCAGGACTCTGGAAGAGCATTCAAAAAAGAAAACTTGGTTACTTTCAAGCAGCTTATCCTTGAGAAGTATTGGGCAGCCGGTAGCACCCTGGACTCAAACAGAGCTGTAGGCATTTAAGTGCCTTGTTTCAGAACCTTGTTTGCTAAACAGATTACCTACTCTTTAATGACTTTATCCTGTTGCCAAATGTCTTGATTCACATACGTGCCTCATACCATGCATGTTAGTGTTACAAAGTGTTGTTTGTTTTTTTTTTTATCTGGAAATAGCGTTGCATTCTCTAAAAGCTAGATGAGGGGCTGACTTTGAAGTTGTCTCTAGGTACTGGACATTGCTCCGTTAGCTCTGTACTGTGGTTTTCTGGTTTTACTTTGAAACAAATGATCTGTAGGAATAAATAAGTATCCTGAGCAGGATGTTGCATTATCAGTTCTATGGCTTCTGCTCCTTAAATAGTCATATGGTCCTACAGGACACAAAAGGCTTAAGTCTTTCACATATTCAAAATGTTACATGGTGGTTCATCACAGTTTCTTATCAGTGTGTGTCAGATTAGTATTTAAATAGTTCATATACATTTTTAAGGCTTTTTGTACAATGAAATTATTATTTTGATGCATGCACTTGACAACTTTTCTTCCCTTTCCTTTACAGACAGTAGTGAGCATATTTAATGGATTATGGAAGTGTATCATTGAGCCTTTAAAGCAGTGCACATTGCAAGAACTGGACAATGGAGCTGGTGGAAAACTTTATACCTTAAAGCCTGAATTTGCTTTTCCTGAAAAACAGTGTAAGCCTGTGGCAGAATCATATGATAAACTTACAGTCTTTCTGATTAGGCACTCTTACTGCTAGTTCAGGGGTTTTGGGGGTTTGTTTTTTTATTAGCTTTGTTGTATTTGTTTCCTTAGTCAAATTGTGCTAGAATGCAAAAGGCATTAAAAAGCTGTCTGCATTCAGAGACTTGGCTGGATTATAAAAGTAGACTAGAACTGCATTAACTTTCAACTATAATTAGAAATTGTGCTGGACAACTGCGACTTTGAACACCAACCTAGCCTTCAATATTGCAGGCATTGTCTAGCTACTGCTGATGTGTCACTGAATGAATGAAAGCTCACTCTAGAGCCCTCAGCACTTCTTTGTTTATCTGCACTCATAGTAAGAATAAACTAAAGCAATGATATTTGTTTTGTTTCTGGAAACATTACAGTGCACAAGCCATTCAAATATGGCTGAGAGCATAAACTAAGTTTTTCTATAAGCATAAGTACCACTTGATATAAGTGGCAGTCTCAGAGAGGCCAAGGATATGCCAGGCCAGAACTGAAGTTTGAGGGGTGAGTTCAGTGGAGAAATGTAGATGTTCTCCTATATCCACTGCTGGGTAGGATCACTTAACTGTCTTCAGCTTTGCAGTTGCTTAACTTGCATTTTAAAAGGAAAAGTCAAACAAAAGCACTTTCAAAATATCTTTTTTTTTTTATTTGAAATCGTCAACTGATACACAAACCTATCAACCTGAAGTCTAAACTAATTAAATACATAGCAGGTATGTCTGTGAGAGTCATATCTCCCCATGCTTCAGAAACTGGTTGTTTCCTACCAAATTAATAACCTGTTACTGTCAGTGGCTGTCTGAAACACTACATCTTATAAAAGTTCAGTTTTGACAACTAAGTTTATATACTTTATGGATTGTGCTACCATTTAATGGATGCCTTATTTTCTATAGTCTATTCACTCTAGGGGCAGAATAGAAAACCAAAGGGAAGCATATTTTAGATCACTTGCATTTGTGAGCAACATTCCTGTAGCTGTGTTACACCATATGATGCTGTGCACAAAGGTGGCTGACACTAAACAAGTTCTGTCTGAATGTTTACACATTGTAAATGCGCTACAATAAACTCTTCCAGCTGCAGTAACTATTGAGTGTGTCAGTATTCATCCTAAGAGTAAATATGTTGTCAGGTTATTATAGGAGCTTTTCTTTGCCTTTTTTTTTCCTTTTTAATAGCAATATGCAATTTCTAGTATTAAACAGCATGTGGAATATGCGAACTTACATTTCCTGTAGTCAAGATAGTTCCTGTGGACCCTGGTGAGGACCTGTTCCCAGCTGATCCTGTTTAACAGCATTTCAGAGTTTGCCACAGAAACAAATAAGCAAGCATGAAATGTTACACTACATGAAGCTCAAATTCAGCAAAGTCAATCCAAATACAAAGTGTAGGCAGAGCAGATGATTCACAGTATCTGAAAGTTTCCAGTATTGAAACCCTTGCTTCCAGCAGTCACATAAGACTGAAGATTTGAAGCTTTTCAAGGAGATTCAAGGCAATCTTGCCTCAAAAAGCAGCTATTAAGTGATGTTATTAAATGACACAGCTATTCTGTTGACACACTAAACTCCTTATGGACCTGCAACAACATGCATTATATAATGTTCACATCACTATTGTATAAAATAGTTTGTGCAAGGAATTCTGATAAGGATGGTAAGCACTTCAAGATCACTGAAGTGCAGAAGGCTGACTTCTTATTGAGGCTTTTTCATACAGAGTCAAGAGAAAGCTAAAAGTAATAACTTGCTCAAAATGCAGGTGTATTTTGTAAACAGCTATGGAATACTTTGCCAGTATGATCATAATGCATACAGTAGCCTGATTTCATTTAGAAATGGGGCAGAGGATATGCTTCATCACTGTAAGCTTCTGAAATGGCAACAAATTTCAGCACAGCTCTAAAATACCAAATTCCTGCAGAATTTTATAGAAGCAGGGAGAAATCATGTTAAATAGAAATCTTCCCTTGAAGACTGGTTTCTGTTGCCTGAAGGTCACCCTTCACTGTGGAGCTAGTTGTGCAGTGAAATCCCTGTTAGAGTCTTTAAGTAATGACCTGTGTGTGTGTTAACAGCTAAAAAATCAATCAACTGAGATGCAGAAACTCAGTGGAAAACCATTCTCTGTTACTTCTGCCAGACCTAGCATTGCAGGAGTTGCGTGGATTTCAGGAGGAAAGAGCTGATGAAAGGCAACTGCCTTCAAAGAGTAATGGGCAGGGGCACAGCGTGGAGCCAGATTTCTGACCTGCTCCATCCTTGATGTTCAGGATCTTCATCTGCCTATTTTTCTCACCTGAGAAAGAAGCCAGTGAAGGCTGTTTTCTAGCCTACTGGCTGCATTTGAGATGAAGTGCAGCTCTGCCACGAGATCTGTGGCTGCTGCTGCTGCTGCTGTGTGTGTGATGGAGCTTTTTAATCTTGTTTCCTGTCAATATGTGATGTTCTGCTTATGATCTTGCAGAGCCAATAAGTGTGACTATGATCTATATATCCTAAAAAACTCTTGTGATTTCAACAGTATCAGTGATCTCAACATCAGCAATGCTAGGAACACATGTAAAGCTGCATCCTAGAGACATCAGTATCTTCATGCTGATACAATCAAGCAGGCACAGATAGAACTGTAAAATGCAAATGGGGAAGCAGATAAAGCATCAAATAAACTCATTATGCTTAAAGATGCCATTCTAAGGAAAACAAGGCTTTCCGTGCTGTCCAAGGTGTGGAGGGGTGAAAGAGTTTCTTTTTGTTCTGATTTTCACTGGCCTCTGGGAAGAGTTGCCTGAAAAATACTGATAGTATTTCCTCATGAAAATAAGTCACAGGGTGCTAAACTTGGGTGACAGCTGTTTCCAAACCAAGGCTCATTTCAATGCCATTGTTTTGCATATGCCCAGGTACTGAGAACTTATCTTCAGAAGAGCTCACATCTCTTCACAGAATGAGGTTACGCTGAGGGGAAGAGAGAGATGGGGGCCATACTTGTTTCTAAGTACCAGTTTCTATCTTAGGTAGAGCATATTAAGTAAACAGTGTGCACGCAAAAGAGGAAGAAACCCACTCCAGATATGCTCATACCTTTCCAATAAAACAGTGTGTAAGGGCATAATTTATCTCTGGCAGACAGCGGGAAAACCAGACACTGCTGTAGAAGACCAAACCTGTGACTGCATCTGTCAGGGGCATCTTTCTGCTGAGGCAGTAGCTAGTAACAGATGCATTGGGAGGAAGCCTTAAGAAAACTTTTGTGCATGAGCAGATACTATGCCCCTGCAGCTAATTTGGAGTAACTGCTCATAGATGTTTGCCTGGGCTTTGGTTCCCTCTTCTCTCTTAAACAGCGTGACTGTAACCAAATGCAGGATCTGAGGACATTACACAGGAGTCGTGGGGGCAGGTAGAGGGTTCACAGTTGCTGCAGCAAAGCCCCTTCTGATCTTGCATTCTGTTGAGAACATGATTGTTTGGATCAACCACATTAAGCCACATCCTCTGAGGAACCCAATACCTTTTCGGCTGCAAACCGACCAGCTGTGTAGGAGGCAGTGTGACATGTCTTCCCTCATCGCGTCTTCCTGCCGACAACGGCAAGGGCCGGGCGAATGCCTTCTTCACTCAGCAAAGGCCCGAGCACCGGTGACCGGAGCCGAGGCGGGGTGGCGGGACCG